TAGCCCTGTAGCCCTATAGCCCTTCAGCCCTAAAAAGATTATGATTGGTTTTTCTCTGGTATCATTTTAGTAGTGCTGTATTCAGTATGCAAATTCGTAGTAGCATTAGTATCTTCACTATTCGTATCATGATTTCTATGTTTATTGTTTGTTGGTATTCACATTATTCTCTTGCATAGGGTGTCTACCACTTTATTCCGCGTCGCACCCCCCCCCGCGTCCCCAGCGCCAGAGTGGGACCCCCGCGCCTTGGCTCTCTGCCCCGAGCCCCCCCGCGCCCCCACCGCCCCAGCGGGAGCCCCGCCCACTGCCCCCTCCGCCACGAACGTTTTATTCCGCGTCGCAAACGCCCCCCGTCCCAAGCGCCAGAGTGGGACCCCCGCGCCGTGGTTTTCTGCTCCGAGTACCCCCGCGTCCCCAGCGCCCCAGCGGGAGCCCCGCCCACTGCCCCCTCCGCCACGAACGCTTTTATTCCGCGTCGCACCCCCCCCCCGCGTCCCCAGCGCCAGAGTGGGACCCCCGCGCCGTGGCTCTCTACCCCGAGCCCCCTCGTGTCCCCAAGCCCCGCCCATTTTATTCCGCGTCGCGACGCACACCACCTCCCCCCCTCCTCTCCGCGCCCCCAGCGCCCCAGTGGGACCTCCGGCCCGTGCCCCCTTCGCTCCGAGCACTTTATTCCGCGTCGCCAGCGCCCCAGTGGGACCTCCGGCCCGTGCCCCCTTCGCTCCGAGCACTTTATTCCGCGTCGCGACGCACACCACCTCCCCCCCTCCCCACCTGGGATTTGGGCCCCGTTGCTGGGCCCCGAGGGGCGATGTCTTGCCCCCTCTTCCCCCCTCCTCCTCCACCTCCTCTTCCTCCCCCTTCTATTTGTGCAAGAACCATGGCACACGTGCCACTTGTTATTATTCGTATTATCGTCATCATTTCAGTCTTATGGGTTGTTCTGGTTATCATTATGGCTATGTTGGTCATTATGTTTTCTATTGCAGCATCTTTGTTTTTTTTATTGTTATTCTTATTATTATTAGTATTCTTATTATTATGATGATGCTTGATGTTCTGTTGCTCTCTTAGCATTGTTTTTGCTAATATTTTGGTTAGTGTTACAATGATGGTGATGATGCTGATGCTGATGCTGACGCTGCTAAGGCTGATATTGATGTTGAGGTTGATGTTGTTGTGATTGCTGCTGATGATGATGCTGATGATGATGACGATGATGATGTTTATGATGATGACGATAAATATGATGATGGTGGTGAAGATGGTGGTGGTGGTGGTGATGATGATGATGAGGAGGAGGAGGAGGAAGAGGAGGAAGTGGAGGAGGAGCAGGAGGAGTATGAGGAGCAGGATGAGTATGAGGAGGAGGGGGAGGAGGGGGAGGAGGAAGAGGAGGAGGAGGAGGACGAGGAGGGGGAAAAGAGAGAAAGCGAGAGAAAGAGAGAGAGAGAGAGAGAGATGGAGAGACAGAGGGAGAGAGGGCAACAGAGAACGAAGCATCCGGCGGCGGGGGAGGAGACGGCATGAGAAGAGGAGGACCAGGGGAGGAGACGGAGTAACGGGGGAGGCGGAGGAGCAGGAGGAGCTTGCCGCCTGCGTGGCTACCTGGGAGCCGCGTCAGTCAGATTGTTATGGATGCTTTCCCAGCCATATTGCTCGCTCGTCCACCCGCGCTTGCAATCCGACGTCCTGATTTTTTTCAGGTGCGCGGTGCTCTGGAGCCCAGGGTTCGCGTGGATCTCGCGCCGTGGTCACGCATCAGTGAGAATGACCCGCTCTGGCGGAGGCGGGGGGCGGGGCTTGGGGGGGTGGGGCGGGGCCACCAGACCAGAATGTGTTGTTGTTGTTGTTGTTGTTGTTGTTGTTGTTGTTGTTATTGTTGTTGTTGTAATTGTTCTTGTTCTTGTTGTTGTTGTGGTTGTTGTTGTGGTTGTTGTTGTTGTTGTTGTTGTTGTGGTTGTTGTTGTTGTTATTGTTGTTATGTTGTTATTGCTGTTTTTGTTGTTGTTGCCTGAGCCTCTGATGGGGAAGACGAGCAATCCAGAGGTTTTGAGTAGACATGGACCTGTTCTTGCCGTGGCATACTCGAAGGGGGGCTTCTTCGTACCTCATAGGAAGCGATCCTAATGGGGAAAACACGGCGGGCCCGATACACACCAACTGCTGCATGCATGTCGCAGCGGTGTGTTGTTTTCTGGACGCCTGAGATCTCAGGGCCTCCAGGAGGTTCCCCTCTCTGTTGCGGCCGAGCCTGGCCCGAAGACCCATGGGGGGGGGGGGGGGGGGGGGGGGCGACATTAGCACGGTAGGGGCGCGGAACGCTTCTGCCTGAGGAGGAGGATTACCTTGACATTTCGGCTTCGTGAGCACATGACGGCTGGCCAATTCGGGCCGTGAACGGAAGGTTGACGGATCGATCTGACTCGAAGAGTTAAACACAGGGACTAATTCCTACAACGAAGCGGCCGAGGATGATGGTAGCAATAGTAATAATCATAATGGTATTGATGATGATGGATGATGATGTTGATGCTGATGCTGATTCTGATTATGATCATGACGAGGAGGATGATGAATCGGACGGGGATGAGGATGATGATCAGGACGAGGATGAGGATGATGAATCGGACGGGGATGAGGATGATGATCAGGACGAGGATGAGGATCATGTTGATGTCGGTGCTGATGATGATGATGATGATGATGATGCGGATGATGCGGTTGATGATGATGATGATGATGATGATGATGATGATGATGATGATGATGATGATAATGATGCGGCTGCTGCTGCTGCTGATGATGATTTGGTGAGGCTGATGATGATGCTGAGATTGACGATGATGATGGCGATTATTTTGCTGCTGCTGCTGATGATGTTGATGATGATGAGGAGGATGAGGATTAGGATCAGGATGAGGATGAGGATGATGGCGCTCATGCTGATGATGATGATGGTGATGATGCTGGTGATGATGAGGATGATGATGTTGATGATTTTGATAGTGATACTGGTCATGATTATGATGATGCTGTTGATGATGATACTGATTGTGCTCATGATGATGATTGTTGTGATGAGTATGCTGATGACGATAATGCTTATTCTTGTTGGGGGCGTGACGGTGACGACGATTATGATGCTGACGATGATGATGATGCTGCTGATGATGATGATGCTGATTATGATGATGATGCTGATTTTGATGATGATGCTGATGATGACGGTCCGACGGCGGTTGGCAGATCATGCCGATTCGCTCGGATGAGGAATGATTGGATGCTCGTGATGATGAAGAAGAGATGATGATGATGATGCTGATGACAACATGATGATGAAGATGGGATTCGGTGATGGTGATGATAATGATTGTGAAATGTGGTGTTGTGGTGTCGTGATGTTTTATGGTGATTTTGATGATGATGATGATGATGCTTCTGCTTTAGCGCTGACCCATGGTGCCTTTTGACTGGATGATGAACTGGGGGGGTGCTGGTGGTGGGTGCTGCTGCTGAGGATGATGATAGATGATGAACGATAGTGGATGAAGACGATGCAAGATGATGCTGATGATGAATGATGATGGAGATGCGATGAGAAGAATTGTGATGATGATACGATGATGATGATGATGATGATGATGATGATGATGATGATGATGATGATGATGATGATGATGATGATGATGATGATGATGATGATGATGATGATGATGATGATGATGATGATGATGATGGCCATGATCATACTGGTGATGATGATGTGCATGAGGAGGAGGACGAGGAGCCGGAGGAGGTCTTTCTGGCACCGAGTGAGCTGTGGTTGGTGTCGAAGCAGGGAACAATACTTACGAAACGGGGCCAAACTCGAGTGTTGGAGTCTTCCCCGGGATGAGTCCGCTGTTTGGGGGCGGCAAGTCGTGGCATTCATATCCCGCTGCTCCTCGCGGCGGATTGGCCAAACCCCAGCAACCACCGGGCATAGGCGAAACGGAAAAGAGGAGACACGCATCGGAAACCACCCTCCGGGGAACAAGCGAGGGCAGAACCCTCCCGTTATCCTGGCAGTGAGGGCGAGGGCCGTCCTCGCACGTGGTAGAAGCAGCAGTCCGCGAAGCAACCGAAAGTCAAGATCCGAATTGTTGAAGCAAGACCGCACCGACATCGGAGGATCGGATCAGGACGGCCTGCACGCAGCCAAGCAACGGGCGCGAAAGGAGAGCCCCGATCCGACCCGAGGACGGGCTGGATGAATCGGACCAGGCGGGCAGGAAGTGGATAATTGGGGGAGGACGTACCAGTCGTACTCCAGACCCAGCTGAACCGCCCTCATAAGCTCCCTCCCCTCAGAATGCCATACCCCGCTCAAGTTACAGTAGAAACTCAACGGCGCAGGGGGTTGGACGGAAGATCGCGTTATCTTTGGCTCGCGGGAGCGACAGAGGTGGGCGAGGCCAGAACCGACGCGTTGGGCGCCCTGAGACCAGAGAGCGGCAGGGGCGACCAAACCCATGATCTCCGAGTTTGTTAAAGGCGAAGGCACCATCCGGCTCATCGAGCTGTGAGGAGCCCCAGGGACTGGTTGTTGCTTTCGCGAGAATTGTGCAAAGCTCGTGGTTGAATGTCTTGTGGGCACCTTGTCTGCAGCATGCCTGCTCCGCGCAGCTCCCGAGCAGAGGGGCTTGCGTGCCCTGATCATTTTGGCGTATATTGGGATGGGAGGAGGAGGAGGAGGAGGAGGAGGAGGAGGAGGAGGAGGAGGAGGAGGAGGCGGAGACAGACGCGACGGCTCAAGCAAGCCAACGTGTGTCCAACAACGCAGGAGGAGGAGGAGGAGGAGGAGGAGGAGAGGAGGAGGAGGAGGAGACAGACGCGACGGCTCAAGCAAGCCAACGTGTGTCCAACGCAAAAAGGAGGAGGAGGAAGAGGAGGAGGAGGAGGAGGAGGAGGAGGCCTCCGACGGCGCCGCTCGGAATCCCGGCCTGCTGTGCCAGGGCAGCGCGGGCCTGCCGGCGCGGGCCGGCGCCGCCGCGGGCGCCGGGGCCCTCGCGGCGCTGGTCTCGCGCACGCGAGGGTCCCTGGGGGAGGGGGCTCGGTTCTATCTGCACGCACGAAATGGGTACTGGAAGAATGGGTACAATGCCCAACAGCGGATCTTGTTCATTCTGAACAGTGCTCGCTGGCCACGCCGCCGCGGCCTGTGTCCATTCGAGACAGGAGGCCGCCCGCACAACAGCGGCCGCTGTTGGTTTGGGACAACATTTGCTGTTGGGCATTGTACCCATTCTTTCGGTACCCATTTCGGGCGTCCAAATTCTAGGCCTGCCAGCGTAGACTTCTTGGCATCTTCGGGGGACCTCTCTCGTCCCGTGAATGGCTGTCTTTTCTTGTGCTGGGTTCGACGCGGGTTCGACACGGATTCGACACGGATTCGATTCGCTCGACACGGAGTCGACGGGACAGACGAGGTCCCCTGAGGATGCAACACAAAGTAGATGATGTTCGGATGATCGGGCCGCATCGCTGATGCGGCTTGATGTGGAACCCGATTTTCTGTACGTCGACGTTGCCGAGGCATCGGTGATGCATCGGCGATGCGGCGCGATCCTCCAAACCTGTCTGCTCGGACCCCATGTTGGCTGCCTCTACTCTCTGGGCGCCCCTCGCGAGGGGCTGGAGGGGCTCGGGCTGTGCCCGCATGTGCCTCCTTTGTCCTCATCTTGCCCCTGCTCGCCGGCGTCGTCGTCGGTTCCTGCTCGTCGTCGTCGCCGTCGGCATCGCCGTCGCCGTCGCCGTCTGCTCGTCGCCGTCGTCGCCGTCGTCGTCATCGTCGTCCTCCCTCCTTGTCCTCATATTTCCTGTGATCTTCTTTCTTTCTTTAACGTCGGCTCTCAGACCAGGCTTCGCCTCGATGCTGAACAGTGGAATTTGCCGTGCTTGCTCCTTGCGGAGATGCCCCCCTAACGTCGCGATTCGTCGACATAAGAGGTCCGCAACCTGTGGGGCTCACCTCGAGCCCTTAGCCTTAGCTCCTCGTCACTTGATCCAGCAATGCTCATCAGTGCTGCAGAGCCCTTCGGAAATTAGTCGTGTCATAAAACAATCATGACGTCATGGCTCCCGAGCCGTCGATCCCACCTTCGCGCGAGACCTTCTGCTGGTTCGAAGTATGGCCGCTCCAGGAACTGCGGGAGCCCAAGTCAGGCACACCCGTAGGTGCTCAATCCAGGAACAGCAGTCGCCTGCCACGGCTTCTCAGCGACGATGGTTGTCAAGGGAAGGGGGGCATGGCCCAGGGTGATCCCGGTGGGGGGAAAATCGGCCACCCATCGCCCATGCACTGCCGATCTGGGCTGGGATGCTCCACCCTGTCGAGGATCCTACGGATTCGATGTTGGGTGGCACAGTCGCCAGGCTGTCGGCAGTGTAATCGCCGTTTCCGTGCAGATGTTCCCTCTCTCCTGAGCCGGTCCCCACCTCAGACGCCCGACGAGGGTCTTTTCCCCAGCCCCTTGGGCCCCCAGAGGTCATGACCCTTTCCCCTGGGGCAGGGCTCCGTGCAAGACCTGGCCCGAACGTGGCCTCGGGAGGCCAGAACTCAGACGATCGCGAACATGGATCACTGGGGGCGTGGACTGGCGACGGGCCTCGCTTCCATGGGAAACCGCGGCCTTCCGGCGCCGACCCTAGGCCAGGCGGCACCGGCCGCCCTCTGGGGAGGGCACCTCCCCCGATCCATGGATCTGGCGGCCGCGCGCCAGATCCACGGATCGCGAGCCCATGTCTGCGCGCCCCCGGCAGAACAGCCAGCAAGGGGGCAGCGTCTGGGCCGAGGCCTGGGCCCGCCCCCGCCCCCCCGCCCCGCACGCCCTGGAGCGGGGGGTGGCACGGGGGCCCGCGCTGCCGACGGACCCCCGCCCCCCCCAGCCGTCGACGACGACGACGACGACGACGGTGGCGGCGGCGGAGGCGACGACGACGACGGCGGCGGCGGCGGCGACGGCGGCGACGGCGGCGGCGGCGGCGGCGACGACGTCGACGTCGACTACGACGGCGGCGGTGGCGGCGGCGACGACGACGACGGCGGCGGCGACGACGACGACGACGACGGCGGCGGCGGCGGCGACGACGACGTCGGCGGCGGCGGCGGCGGCGACGACGACGGCGGCGACGACGACGACGACGAGGGGAGGGCCAGGCGGAGGCCGCGGCGGAGGCCAGCGCGGCGGCCCGGCGCGGCCCTCTTGCAGGACGGCCGCCCCCGTGGGGGGGTTGCCGCGCGCTCCCCCCCCCGAGGGAGTGGAGGAGCAGCCCGAGCCGGGCATGCCCCTCTACATGAGGAGTATTCAAAATAGTCAAACATATTTTTGCATATGTATGTGTATATATATACACATATATATATTATATATGTAGATATTCATTTTTGTATATATCTATATGTGTGTATTGTATATTGTATATATGTATAAGTGTATTTGTATATGTTTGTATCTATGTATACGTGTAGATCGGCATATCTATATAAAAAAGATCTATGTTCGACACATTTTGCTTTTTGTTTATTTTCCTTTCTCATCCAAAATCCGCCTGTAGGAGGACATGCCCGACCGAAAGCCAGGAGCAGTCGGCAGCGGCCGGCAGCAGCACGAGGGGGCGGGAGGGCAAGGGGGGGTTGGTAGGGGAACCAACAATGACATAAACATAAAAACTCGGAGGTCCGCGCGGATTTCTCGGATCGGCGCTGGACCTACCTCCCTGGCGCGCGGAGCGCGCCAGGGGCGGTGCCGGAGGCGCCGCTGGGGGCCCCCAGCGCACATCCGAGAAATCCGCGCGGACCTCCGAGTTTTTTGATGTTTATGCCACTTTTTGTTCCCCCAGTTGGAGGCAGCTGGGCGTCTGCGGTGTCCCAGCAGCTGGTGCGGGCCAGCAGGAAGGGCCCGTGACGGGGGCACGACGAGCACGGCGGCGTCCAAACCTTTTTTTGCGTCGCAGCGTGGCCGGGGCGAGCCATCGCGAGTTTGCCCGCATGCAGTAGGGATCTCGCTGCCCCTCGTGGCCCCGTTGCAGCCCTTTCGTGGCCCCCTCGCTGCCCCTCGTGGCCCCGTTGCAGCCCCCCTCGTGGCACCCTCGCTGCCCGGGCCCTGGCATCGCGAGTTTGCCCTCCCCCTCCTCCTCCTCCTCCTCCTCCTCCTCCTCCTCCTCCTCCTCTTTCTCCTCCTCCTCCTCCTCCCCCTCCTCCTCCTCCTCCGCAGAAGGAGGGCGAGCGACGTCCACACACGTCGGTGTTCAAGCCCCGACCCCGGGGCCTCGGCCCTCGGCCCCCGGCGGCGGCGGCGGCGGCGGCGGCGAGCGCCCCCCCACACCCGCGGGTGCAGGGACGCCCCGCGCTGCTCTTGGACTTCGCGGGCCGGGGTTTTCATTCGGGGGCAGACAGAACCCCCAACAGTGACACGTCGATTAGTGAATATTGTCCGTTTTCGGTTCTCGAGATGGCGCCGCGGCCGTTCTTTTCCAGGCTTGCGCCCGCCAGGTTTGGGCCTCAGGTCGTTTTCACGAAACCACGTTTTACTAAAGGGGGTTCTGTCCATCCCCGATTCATGCAGGGTCGCCACTTCAATTTGGACGCCCGACACGGGTACGGCAGGTTCGCGTCGTGTCGACCGGCGGCGACCCCGCCGAGGGCCTTCAAGGTTGAACGCCGCCAGTGGCCCAGAATCGGCTTATATGGAACGATCGGGCGGTCGAAAAGCCGCCGATCATTCAAGGTTGAACGATTCACGCAGTGTCAGAAACCAATGCCGGGGTCGTCACGACACGAACCTGCCGTACGGAAAAAGTTTGTACAATGCCCAACAGCACATGTTGTCCCAAACCACCAGCGGCCGCTGTTGGGCAGGCGGCCTCCTGCCTCGAATGGACACAGGCCGCGGCGGCGTGGACAGCGAGTCCTGTTCAAAATGAACAGGAACTGCTGTTGGGCATTGTACCCATTCTTTACGTACCCATGTCGGGCGTCCAAATTCAAGGTCCTGGGGCCCCCCAAGGGCTCCGGGAGGATGAAAATGGCTGGGCACATCTGTCGGCTCTGTTTTTTGGAGCTCGCATTTCTGAAGAAGAAATATTGTGTGAATCCCCCTTCCAGTGACCTCTTGTTTTTTTAATTGAAGTGTCCCCCTCGGTGCTCGCGCCCGGTGTTTTATCAGGGAAAGCTTGGTGTCACCAAACTGTGTTGTTGGGCCCGAACTACAACAATGGCTCCCGCCTGATACTCCCTCACAACTTATTCCAAAATCGCGCTCTCGCGCCTGAGTTCTCACAAGTTAGGTAGGAATCGCGCTCTCCCGTAGGACGTCCTCGCAATTTGTTCAGACGCCGCGCCCTCGACACTCAGGAATCACGCTTTCGCTTTGGCCTTTCTCGCGATTTACTTGGGAGTCGAGCTATTGCTCGAGCTCCCCTCGCGATTCATGCAGTATCCACGCTTCAGCAACACGCCTTCTCGACGTGGCCGCTTGTGCCCGCCTTCCCAACCCGCCCGCCAGGGTCTACCCGCCCGATGGGCCGGTCTGGTTCTGCCACGTGTGTTCTGCTCCTAGCGCCCCCCCTGTTCATCCCGTGCTCCATCCTTCTCCCTCCCCCTTCCATCCGTCCTCTCTTCCCCTGCCCCCTGCCTCAGGGCCTGCACCAATTGCACTCGGCAGGTAAGGAAGATATGTTCCCAGGGGGGTACGATCGAAGACGAAGAGTGCGGGTACCGTGAGTTTGGGATATGCTTGTTGAATGGCACGCGATCGGGTAAGAGCGAACAGTCTTAATATATTTGTTGTCGTTGTTATTCCTGTTGTTGTTCATGCCGTTTTTTTGCTGTTGTCCCCGTCGTCCTCGTCGTCGTCGTCGTCGTTGTCGTTATTGTTGTTGTTGTTGCTGCTGCTGTTGTTGTGATTGTAGACGTTATTGTTGTTGTTGCTGTTGCTGTTTGTTGTTGTTGTTATTGTTGTTGTTGTTGTTGTTGTTGTTGTTGTTGTTGTTGTTGTTGTTGTTGAACACTATTACTTCTAAAGAATTATTATTGTTGGACCCCCTGGTGCACGCCCCCCGCCCAAAACCTAGGCCGCAGCTACATTTTCATCATTTTTCTGCGAAAGCTTCAGAAAAGTGGATTACCCCCGGATCCGGTTTTTTGTTGACGCTCGTTTTCCCTTGCAAAAAACAATAGAAAATGAAAATTCTTGTTCTTAGTTGATCAAATTTCAAGAATCCCTTGCAAAAAATAAGGTAAAGTGGACATTCGCGCTCGCAAGACGAAATCCTTCCAAAACCTTAGGTTTCGTAGCGATTTTAACATAAAAACATCAAAAACCCAATGGTTTTTTAAGAAAAAATTGTCAAAATGTCCTTCCGCGCGCTCTTGCGGATTCATAGGAAACACACCACTTTTTAAACATTTCTGTCAAAAGGGTCTTTGCGTGCTACTTCTTCAGGTGCTTTGAACTTCTCCAACAACGGTTGCGCGCCTGCGAGGGCCACCATCCCTTGCAAAAAATGAGACGAAGTGCACATGCGCGCGGCCGCCGCGCGCGCATGTCGAAATCCTGCCAAACACAATGGGTTTTCAATAATTTCAAGATGCGATGTTCAGAAAACATATGAAAACATATGGAAGCCCATTGGCTACCTTGTGCACGTATTCGACACGCTGTGCACCGCAGCAGGTATCGTCGCCTGGAAAGCCAACCTCTTCGTCCACCCGGGCCAGTGGGTGTATCGCAGTATGCGGTATTTGCTCGGTCAGCTCGCTATTCCCATTCATGCGGAGATCGTATCCGGCCTCTCCTACAGGGCCCTGGCCACCTTGGACGTATTCATTGCGTACCACGCGGCCTTCATGGGTACGGACCCGCAGAAAATGGCCCTTTGGAACGTATCCCCTGAGGTCGGCACAGAGATCACGTATCCGCGTCAAGACCAGTGGTGGTGGTTGCCCGTATGGCGGTCGTATGGTCAGAGCGACGAGCTTCCGAACATGCTCGATTACCAGGCCTTGCCACCGCAGGTCCACAACGTGCTCGCGGTAGCACTGCCGTATGCAAGCACCGGCCTTCCCGCCAGCAGGCGTATCGGCAATCTCATTGGGCATCTGGGACCGCACGGGTATCAGCCAGGCCCGCACGTGTATCAGCCAGGCAGCCGGGCACCCACGCGCCCGCTCCGCGCCATCGCAGACGACGATGCGTCGCGCCTTTAGTATGCTTCTGGATGCGAAGACCATTCGGTTGAGTATACCCCTACGTGTGACTGGACCTGTTTGCGAAAGCAGGAGAAAGTATGGCACCCCTTTGTGTCCAGAGCCGCGCCGTCTGCGTTCTTCCTTTCTCGCTTCTCTCCTTTCCTCCTTGTCCTGCTCCTCCTCCCCCTCTTCCGCCTTGGAGCCGTATTGGAACTGTCGATGGCCATCTCCCTTTCTCCCTCGCATGTCTGCTTGTACATACGTATAATTTCAGAACTTACCGTGCATGCGATCGTTTACAACATGGTGGACCGTGCGTATGTCACGAACCTTGTATACATGTGTTTCTCTCCCTCCGTCTGGCTGTGCACGCGCGCGTTGGGCACTGAGAGTTAGGATCATAGCGCCATGAGTCTATGAGCAATGCATGCGTCATCCTTGGGACTGTATAACATCAGTGTAACACATGTACTTCTGTAATCGCATCCCCACGAATTTGCCCCAAAAATGTGACCAACTATCTTGGCACTGCGTACCATCTCACGTGTACCGTGTACCACATCATATGTAACAGATGTGATCAACCTCTGTGGGTGTGTACCCCACGCCAGTGTAGTAGCCAGGGTCGTCCGCACGCCACGAAGTGAAGTGTCCCAACGTCATAGGGCGGGAAGCTGGGTGTGGGTGGTCTCGAAGAGTCGTTTGGATATTTGGTAGAGCTTGAACGGCCCCCCCACGAAGTGGGGGTATTGGCTGGTGTCGCAAGAAAACCCTGGCACTGGGGAGAACACTGAGCGTTCGGGTAAAATGATTGTTGTTGTTGTTGTTGTTGTTGTTGTATGTGTTGGAGTTGCTGTTGTTGCTGTGGTTGTTGTTGTTGTTGTTGTTGCTGCTGCTGCTGCTGTTGTTGTTGTTATTGCTGTTGTTGTTGTTGAACATTATTAATTCTAAAGAATAATTATTGTTGGGCCCCCTGGTGCACGCCCCCCCCCCCGCGCCTAGGCCGCAGCCACATTTTCA